GTTTCAAAAAGACCAAAAAAAAAAAAAAAAAAAAAATTCACAAGTCTACAACTTTGTTGAGTCTTGCTAAACTATTATCAAATCAAATGTACCAATTTATGCCCCCACCAGCAATGTACAAAAGTTGTTTTTTCCACTTTTTAGCCGCACTTGTGTATTACCTTTCTTATTTTAGCCAATTAATCAAGTTATGTTACTTTTTTCATTTTAATACATATATTCATCTGTTTTTCATTACTATAACAAAATGTCTGAAGCAGGCCAATTTTATAAAGAAAAAAGGTTTATTTAGTTCATTGTTCTGGAGGTCCAAAATGGAAAATGCTGTGGAGATGGAGAGTACTGGGTGGGCCTCTGGCAGAGACCTAGTCATATGGTATCACATTGTTGGGAGTATATGTGGGAGCATGTGATCAGTAAGCCAGAGAGCCAATTAGGGACTAAGTATGCAACATACAAACCCTTGGGACAAACCACATCCAAACAAGAACACTATACCTCTTCCCGATGATTCCTAAAGGTGAATATGTATTGTAATTGGGCAGTTTGATGTTCCCCTTATGTCTGAGACTGGGTTGCCTTAAAAGAACGGAGGAGGTTTCCTTTTTTGGAGACAGGTTTTGTTCTGTCACCCCGACTGACTTGTAGAGGAATTTTTTGTTTAAAGCTTGTCTCCTCCCCTCAGTGAATCTATTATGTAAAACAGATTAAAAGGATCATTTTACTTTTTTTGAGACTGGGTCTGTAGCCCAGGCTGGCCTAGAATGTACTATGTAATCCAGGCTGACCTCAAACTTGCAGCAAGCTTCCTTCCTCGTCTCTTAAGTGCTAGGATTCTAGCTGTGATGTACCATGCCAGGCTAAAAGGACTCTCTTTTTTTTCCCCACGCCTGGTAAAAAGGAACCATTTCTTAAGAGGCAGTATAGCTGATAATTCAGAACACAGATTCTGGAGCCAGATTTCTCTAGTAGCAGAGTCACCTTTGTGACCCGTGATAAATTAACCCCTAGTTTACCTCAGTTTCCTTATCTCTAAAATGAATGTAATGATACTATCATCATGTTAGAATAAAATTAGTTTATATATAGTTCTTAGGAAAGTTCAAAATACACTATAAGCAGTATATGTTAGCTGCTGTTAATGGAGGTGGTAATAATAATGGGGCTCTACTGTTGCACATGTGGAATTTATTATTGATATTTTGATTTTACTTTAGCCTTAGCATCCGTTTTATTTTAGTTGTATATTATGAGGAAAATATTAACAGGGTCAGGTGAGATAGCTCATTTGGGTAAAGACATCCCAAGCCTGATGACCTGAGTTCAATCCTCAGAATCCACATAGTAGAACCTGCTCCTGCTGGTTGTCCTCTGGTCTCCACATACTACTGTGACACACAACCCCTGCCCCCCATCCGCATTTAAATAAATAAAATAAATTTTTTTGGTCTTTTTGAAATAGAGTTTCCCTGTAGCCCCAGCTGGCCTGGAACTCTCTTTGTAGACCAGGCTGGACCTTGAACTCACAGAGATCTGCCTGCCTCTACCTCCGAAGTTCTGGGACTTCAGGTATGCGCTACCACACCTGGCTTAAATAAATATAATAAAATTAAAAAAATATATATGTAGTTGGGTGTGGTAGCACATACCTTTACTCCTAGTACTCAGGAGGCAGAGGCAGGTGGATCTCTGAGTTCAAGGCCAGCCTGGTCTAAATAGCAAATTTTAGGCCAGCTGGGACTACAGAGAGACCCTGTCGCAAACAAACGACGATAAAAACCAGAACAAAGCAAAAGCACAAATTGTCATCCTGTCAGCATTCCTTGTATCCTGTCACATCTGTTATTACAAGTTGGCTGATTACTGCTTTGGGCCACAGCATAAAACAATGATTAGCAGATGTGCTGTTCACTGCCTGCTGTAGAAGGTGTGCTCTAAGATACTGTGGAATGTTCTGCCATTGAATGAGCCAGAAAGGCTTGATGTTAGGAACAAATTACAACAAAAAGAGCTAGAGTTTTCCTAAATGATGACATATTTCTAAGACATTGAAACAGATTGTGACAGGCAAATGCATATAAACCAAAACCTAGTTGGCTAGGCACAGCACATTACATTTTGTGTGGTGTCTCACATGAACACAACATCTGCTTTTGGAGTATAGTTATGTTAGTTGTGCCTGCAGCCCCCAGGCAAGTCACAAGCTGCACCCAGAGCCTCTCATGTTTACACCAAGAGCATGTTTCCACCTAATCTTGGCTTTCCAACAGACTTGAATGAATAGCTCAGCAATGCCACCAGAACTGTGACTGGATCCTGCTACTCCTTAGCCACTCTGGGCTTCTCCAGCTGCCTTACCACCAGCACGGGAAGTCTCTGTAGCAGCAGTGTGTCTAGAACACTTCCATTAACAGTCTGCCCAGTGTTGTCTTTTCTTCACAGGCTGCCTGCAATCTTACCTCTTCTCCCAGTTGTTCTTTTTTTTTTTTTTTCCTACAGACGCTTTTAGTTCAACAATTAAAATTGATTAAAAAGCCAACAAGGAGAGTTTACAAACCTAAAAGACACAGAAACTCTCGTTCCTCTTTCCTCTGGTTTACATATATTTACCTTTAAGTAAAAGTGATGGCTGTGATTTCTTAGGAAACGTTTTTCACGTGGACAGGGTTTCATGTAGCTCAGGTTGCCTCTTGTTATATAGCTGAAGATGACCTTGAACTTCAAGATCCTTTACTCTGGAGTGCTGGGATAACAGGCAAGCACCACCACACTGGGTTCATGTGGTGCTGGGCATTGAACCCAGGGCTGGGTATTGAACCCAGGGCTTTGTGCATGCCAGGCAAGCATTCTACCCACATCTCACTTCTCTGTGAGAGTCAGAGAAGAATGAAAAGCTCAAAGAATTTGGTGATGACTAGAGGGTTAGGAAGTTTCTAATGGCTGGTTTACAGAACCACAAATTGTCGAGGCCACCAGAGGACTGGATTTCCTATTAATAAAATTGGAGGTATTCACACTCCACAGACATGTACACTCTCTTCTACCTCCCTCAGAGGAAACGGCAGAGATTGGGAAATCTGTGGATTAGCATAAGGCCTTGGTACGACCAACACACATTCCTGCATGTATCGAACCAGAACTGGGCCTAGTCAAACACTTCTCTGAGCAAACTGTAAGCAGTTTACTCCTCAGGATGTGTTCCAAGGCAGCAGTGTGATCAACAGTGAGTTCTTCCCTGTTCTGGTTTTGACTCATTTTGGGGATAGAGTCCATGGCAACAGAAGCCTGCCTGAGTGAAAGAATGGAACCTCCAAGTCTCAGCTGTCAGGATTTAGCCTCGCCCGTTTTACTGGACCACTCTGGTCATCCAGATGGTACGAATCATCAGTGGTAATGTCTTTTTTTGTCTCCTCCATGGGTTCTAAGGAAAGTCCTGGTCTGTGGCCAGTACCTGTCGAACAGTCATGTTAACAAGAGGAGTTTTCAAGTAGGTGGCACACACCTGCCAGTCCTCTGTAGAACAGGGCTCAATCAGTGAATCTTTGGGGAGGTCAGCAGGGAGAGTTGTCTCTAGACAGTGAGGTAGGCCTTCCCCATCAGGATGTGTTAAGACATGAGGAACAGCATGATTCAACAGGCAGCTGAAACCCAACATAACCATGATGTCACCGTTGTGCATAAACATGGCTGTGGGGGCCTCATCTCTTTTGAGGCCACCCAGGAGAAAGACGGCAGACTGTCCAAACCTTATTATCCCAGGTATAATAGTAGCCCAGGGTCACCCAGCACAGTTTCTCTAGTAGACTTTGTGGTCCCTGTTTATTAACTTCCTTATACCTGGGGGACTCCAGGCCTCGGGACGGAGAAGTCGATGCCTGCTCCCAGGTGTGCGCGAAGCTGAAGGCGTCCTCCCCGGGGTGGGGTGGGGGTGGGGTGTCGGGCCCCTGTTTGGCCACGGAGCTGACAGCCGCTGCCATCTTCCCCATGGAGGCCGCGAAGCCCCTCCCAGTTGTTCTTATTTCTCTGTTTGGTTTTGAGACAATTTCCCTGTAGCCTCAGCTGACCTGGAACTCGCTATGTAGACCAGGCTGGCCTCGATCTCACAGAGATCCACTTGCCTCTCTGCCTCTCGATTGCTGGGATTAAAGGTGTGCACCACATGCGGCTTCATTCCTAGTTCTGTCAGTCATTCTCTCTTGCAAAAATGTTGTCCTGATAGTCTATCTTGGAACCTAAAACTCTTGTTTCTTTATCTAAAGCATTCTGTTGAGTTTGCGCCACATCGGTGCCATTCACAGAATCTGCCAGCAGAGGGAGCTAAATAAAAGACGATGTGTCTGAAATTGAGGAGGCTTAAAGCCAAGGGAATTTACAGTCAGGCATTGCTGACCTGCTAGTACCTAACAGGAGCTTGACTAGTACTAGAAAGTGGCTGAAAGCAACCATTTGGGTCCTGACAACAGATTAAGACCTGGTATGATACTTGTGTTTTTGAACTAATTGTGTATCATATAAAAACCTGTTTAGAAGGATGGTCCGGCACATATTTGAATTAGAGAACCAGTCTGTTTGCTCTCCCCCAGGCCTATTCGTTTCTCCCTCTCAAAAAATGGTATTTGAAGTGCTGAATGAGACCATTTGCTTTGTGCAGAATTTCAAAAGGGATACTAAGTTATAAAGTTGCTAAGGTTTATGGATAACAGTACAAGTTTCAAAACATTTTATTTTATGTGTATATGTGAGTGCTTGCATACACATATGTGCATCACATGTGTGCCTGGTCCCAGAAGAGGGTATCAAGCACCCCTGGAACTGGAGTTATGGAGGGTCGTGAACCGCCATTGGGTGCTAGGAACTGAACCCAGGTCTTCTGCGATAGTAGCTAGTGCTCTTATCTGCTGAGCCATCTCTCCAGCCCCAGTATTACAAGTTTTAAAGATAGGCTTTTTCAAATAAATTTCTTGTATTTGTTTTGATTAAGTATATGTATCTTATTTCAGTTAGCAGACTTGAAGAAAGAGAAGCTGAACTGAAGAAGGAATATAATGCCTTACATCAGAGACACACAGAGGTGGGTTTCTGCATTGCTATTACCAAACTAATGTGGGACATAGAAATGGACTTTGACAGAGTAATCCTTAGGCATCATTTCCAGAAGATGCTAGATATCATGTGGCATTTACCTAGTTACCAAATGTTTGCTTTCCTCATCCTCTTCCTCCCTCCACCCTTTTTTTTGTTTTTGTTTTTGGTCTTTTGAGACAGGGTCTGCTTGTAGTCCCAGCTGGCCTGGAACTCACTATCTAGACCAGGCTGGCCTTGAACTCACAGAGCTCTACCTGCCTCTGCTCCTCCGTCCTTTATCTTTTTCTTTTTTAAAAATTTTTATTTATTCTTTTTATTTTATGTGTGTGCGTGTATTGCCTGCATGTAGGTAAGTGCACCCATGTGGTGCAATGCCCGCAGAGGTCAGAAGAGGCTGTTGGATCTCCTGGGACTAGAGTTACAGACAGTTGTTAGCTGCCATGTGGGTGCTGGGATTCAAACCCAGGTCGTCTGCAAGAACAACCAGTGTTCTTAACTGCTGGGCCATTTCTCCAGCCCCTCTTTTTAAACCTGGAATTAACTTTCCATGTAGGAAATTTATATGCCACAGAATAATGAAGTTATTCTAAGCAGTTATATACTTGTTTCCCAGGCTGGCTAAGCAAATCCTTATTTGGACATAAGAAAAAGATTTCATGATGCTAAAAGAACTGATTTGTTTTGTTACCAGCTTGGAAAATGTTGCATTGATAAAACATTGGTAAAGATCTCTACGTTTATATGATCTAGTTCTAGAGGATTTATGTCACAATCATAACACATTAGAAGGTATTTAAAGGATCCTAATTTTCAGTATTTTAAATTAACACCAACAGAACATAACCCCCTACAAAATTAGAAAATGTACTTGAGGGTTTCTTTTTTTTAACATGTTTTTATGAGTCTCTGTTAACTTTTCATGTTACATTTGTTTCTATGTTGTCAATGTGAAAATTATTTTTGTGTATTATGGTCAGTCTGTGATTCACATTCCTAAATAAATAGAATTTACATAGACACATGTAATATTTGCAAAATGTAAAAAAATCCCCCCCCCCTTTTTTTTTGAGTCAGTGTCTCATTATGTAGCCCTGAATGGCCTGGAGCTCCCTATTGTAGACCAGTAGCCTTGAACTCACAGAAATCCACCAGCCTCTGCCTCCCAAGTTTTGGGATTAAAGGCATGTACCACCATATCTGGCTCCACTTTAGTTTTTGATACTGGGTTCTTACTGAACCTGAAGTTCCTTGTTTAGGCCAAACTGGCTGGCTAGCAAGCTCCCAGAATCACTTGTCCACCTAAAAGTGCTGGGGTTACAGATGTGTGCCAGTGTGTCTTGGTTTTTATGTGGGTGCCAAGGATCAAACTCAGGTCCTCATGCTTACACAGCAAGCACTTTACCAACTGAACATCTCCTTAGCCCCTCATTTTTCCCCTTAAATGCTGTTACATTTGCATATAAATTTTAATACTCTTTGTCCATTTTGATATACATGTTTATATACATCTGGTTCTTTTTATTTTTAAAGATGGCAGAAATCACAATGGGGATTGTGTTGGCATTGAAGGTGTGCGCCACCACTCCCTGCTATTTTTCCCATTCTGTCTTCTCCATGTTATAGGTGATTCTAGTTCTTTCTTACAAATTTATTTAGCTGCTGGAGATTGAGCACAGAGCCTTGTTCCTGTTAAGCAACACTTGACTATTGAGCTACTCCCATAGCCCTGAGCATAGTCTTCAGTTCCCCCCACCTTCTTTTTATTTTGGTTGACTATATGACCTATCTTGCCTTTAGTAGAGACCTATGTTGTTGGATTTAATTTTTTAATTTGTATGTGCACCTGTGTCATGTAATGCCCACAGAGGCCAGAAGAGGGCATTAGAATGTCTGGAACTGGAGTTACAGATGGTTGTTAGCCACCATGTGGATGCTGGGAACCCAACCCGGGTCCTTGGCAAGAGCAGCCAGTGCTCCCTAAAAGCCCCTCTTGTTGCTTTTAGGGACTGTAAAAATACCACTGCATTCAGTTTCATTTGCTTTTGAGTAACATCAGTTTTCTTCCTGACTCATGGGGTAGAAGTTAAATGTTACTACCTAGAACATGAAATGTCATAGAATTGTTAGTCATGGTAGAAGGAAAAGATTGACCACAACTGATCATAGAACCCTGAGAAGATAGAAACAGATTACATAACAATTTTTCCATTATGTCAAAAATACCCATGTTTTAATAATATATTTCATAGATACTAAGCATCTTTTTAAAAATTGTTGTTAAAAGCCTATTGTTGGTGGAATCGTGGCACACACCTTTATTCTCAGCACTTGGGAGGCAGAGGCAGGTGAATCTCTGTGAGTTCCAGGCCAGCTGGGGCTACAGGGAAACCCTGTCTCAAAAAGACAAAAAAAAAAAAAAAAAAAACAACAACCTATTGTTGATTCTTTTTACATTATTCATTTCAATGCCTGAACAATGTCCTATATGTAGTGTTTACTTATAATGCTTATCACTGGTGATAATTAGAAAATATATTTGAATAATTATGTTTAAATGTCATACATAATTGAGAGTAATATATAATTTTTAATGCTATTCTAACTTTTGTAGTAATTGGAGATTATTAAAATTTTATTAAGATATATTTAAAATACCTACATTCTTTTAAACTATCAAGCTAGGCATGGTGGTACACTCCTTTAATCACAGCAAACAAACAAACAAACAAAAAAAAACAACTACATTTTTGAAAGTGCAAATAAAAAGCTAAATTTCTTTTTTTTTTATTTCATATCTGTTTAATGAAAGTAAAGATACATTTCTATAGAAATTTAAAAACCTGGGGGCTGGAGAGATGGCTCATCAGTTAAGAGCACTGAGTGCTCTTGCAGAGGACCTGGATTTGATTCCCAGTATCCATGCGGCGGCTAACAACCATCTGTAACTCCAGTTTCAGGGAATCTGACACCTCTTCTGACCTCTGCAGGCATTGCATGACACGGGTGCACTTAACATGCATGTAGGCGATACAGTCATACACATACAATAAAAATAATACAAATTTTTTTTTTAAAGAAATTAAAAAAATCTGACATCAGGGGCCTGGAGAGATAGCTCAGCAGTTAAGAGCACTGACTGCTCTTGCAAAGGACTCAGGTTTAAATACCATCGCCCACATGGTGGCTAGCAGCTGTTCGTAACTCCAGTTCCAGGGGGATCTGACATCCTCTTTTCACATTTACAGGCATTGCAAGGGTGTACTTGCATACATGCAGACAATATACTCACACACATAAATAAAAATAATAAAAATTTTAAGAAACTCACATCAACTTCCTATGAAAAATTACAATAATTTTTCTGTTTGTTTTTGTGCTCTCAGAAATGTACACTATTGAAAGAAAAGAGATCTCAGGAAAATTTATGTACCAAATCAGAGTTCTGGTCCTGTCCAGCCATCAGGAAGCTAGCTTTCCCTTGCTTACTGATAGCTCTTTGCATGGAATCACCTCCCTCAGTTATAGACAGCTTATATCTTCTGCCCTGATAGACTCTCTCTACTGTATTTTGTCTCAAAGTAGTAGCCTAAAATTTTCTGTTTATCCGTTTGCTCTAGCAAGCCCAGTCAATTAGCAATAATATATAGCTCTGTAATTCTAAAGAACTATATGCTGTTTAAAGGTAAACTCTGAAAACCTTCAGCGAAAGAGTCTCAATGTTATCTCTGGCTGACCTTTAATTTATGTAGATCAGGCTGGCCTTGAACTCACAGAGATTCACCTGCCTCTGCATCCCTGGTACTGGGATTAAAGGCATGCACTACCACGTCTGGCTTTATTTCTTTCTAAAAATGTAAATAACTACTCTCTAATCAAATCAAAATTTGTGCTCATTACTGAATTTACTTAAAAGAAGACGTACCTTGAGAGATGTGGGCTTATAGCTACCATATCAGCATTTATAAGGTTGAGGTAGAAGGATTGCCATAAGACTGAGCCAGCCTGGGGTACATAGTAAATTCTAGGCCAGTCAGAACTATCCAGAAAGATCTTTTCTCAATAAAACTAACTGTATTAGTTACCTGGCAAAGCAACTTAAGTAAGGATGTTTTTATCTCAGTTACTGTTCCAGATCAATCTATTGTGGGAGGGAAGGCATGGTGGTCAAAGCATGAATAGCTGGTCACTTGTCTGTAGTCATACAGCAGAGAGCTTATGCTCTGCTGCCTTTCTCCCTTGTGTACAATGTGGGACCCAAACCCAGGGAATAGTGCTATCCACATAGAATGTGGTTCTTCTCACTTCACTGTGGATGATCCTTCACAAATGTACCCAGAGGCTTGTTTCCATGGTGATTGTAGATCGGTCAAGGTGACAGGGTTAAAACATCACACTAACTAAAAGAAGACATTGTAAAGAGAATAACAGCAGGGGGAAAATAAATATTATTATGAAGTAGTGGGCAACATGTGCAATCATCTTTTTTATGTCTTTGTTTTGTTTTGTTTTGGTGGTACTGGGGATACATGCATAGTCTTCTTTTTATTTTATGTGTATGAGTGCATTGCCTGCACGTGTGTGTGCAGCATACCTGTGTTGTGCAATGCCTGAGGAGGTCAGAAGAGGGTGTTGGATCCCCTGGAACTGGAGTTACGGCAGGTTGTTAGCCATCATGGAAGTGCTGGGAATTGAACTTGGGTTCTCTGTAAGAGCACCCAGTGCTCTTAAGCACTGGCCATCTCTCCAGCCCCATGTATATTCTTTTTAAGCCAATCACTATACATATGAACTTTGTGCAGTGTTGGGCAAGTTTCACATTAGAGACCATTTAAATGTGTTCTTAGACCTAATTGCCATCCATATCCATTTTACACAGTAAAGTTTTTGGAAAGACATTTCTATAGTGATGTATCCCAAACCCCATGCCAAATTAATGACTAGATACAAAACCAGGTTTGTCTGATTCCATTGCCTAAACTTTCAGTAATACTTTTATGCTTTTAGGTTTCTTCTACTGTTTTTCTTTTTTGTTTGAGGCAGGGTGTCATGTGTTAGGCTTGTTGTGTAGCTGAGGATGACCTTTTACTCCTGATTTTCCTGCCTCTTCTGAGTGCTAGCATTGCAGACATGTGCCTCCACACCTTTTAGGTCTCTTATTCTAAGTGCTCTGGACATTTTGTGAGCCTACTATACCTCATAGAATCTCATCAATTTTAAGATCAAGTTTGTGGATATGTGCAGTTTGGGGACCATGTGTAGAAAGATTCAAGGTGAACATGATGAAAAGAATCCAGTCATGTATGTGTAAAACTTCACCATTGCTTTGTTCTTTGCTTTTTGTCAGTGCTAAGTTAGCATCTGCTGTGTGGGTGTCTCAGGGAAGGGCAGGGGCCTACCACAAACCACCATTTTGCAGACAGTGTGCTTGGAATCCTTCTTGATGACTCCAGCTGTTAGTTGCTGAATTGACCTCTGGATAGCAATCAGTTTGCTTACTGAGAAAATTGACAATTTTCTTGAGCAAGAAACTGTTGTTTCTTGCTTGGTTCAGTAGTAACTGTTGAAAAAGGTGCCCTATTTTACTTTTAGGTTTCTTTCTTATGTGAAACACTGATGTTACCTTCCCTCAACTTTTAAAAAACCCCAGCTATACTCTGAATCTCCATTATTAAAATTAAAATTTTTATATGCAGTTATGTTTTTTCTACTCTTGTTCATTTATGGAATATAGCATGTATTATTTTAAATGTCAGGAAGTGCTTCAGGGTGTGGGGTTTTCTTGTGGGTGTGAAGAACAAAGGACAATGAGCTTATTGCTTGCCTAGAGAATTAACTAGAGGGCAGATACAGCACGGGTCCTGCAGTGCTTACTACTCAAATGGCTGTGGCAAACAGATCCAAGTCCTGACTTCAAAACTAATGACAGAAAACAGTTAATTGTTAGCTAGCTTACTGACTTAGGCACATTATTTTAACCTATACCTGGGGTATATGTGAATTGTGATATGGCAAGGATTAAATGGAAAATGGTGATGTATGTACCAGCTTGTAGATAGTTGGTACTCAGTGTGACAGCTGCTATTTGTTGTTCCTCTGTCCAGTTCAGTGCTACTTTAGTTCTGTATTTTCATAATATGGACCATTTTGGATTGTCAAGTTATCATATCTGTAATCAGTGATTTGAAGGAAGTTTGAAATTCAGCATTTTCTAAATTTTAAATATTTTTAAGTGCTTAAGAGATAGAAAATTTAGACCAAGATATTGTGGGAGAGAACTGATTCTATCTTTATTGCTTGCTTTATTAGATATTATTGAATTGATATAAAAGCAAGGAAGTTTTAGTTTTCTTCATTGAAATGTTCAAAGAAACATTCATCCTTCCATTGAACAAATCAATTCTATAATTACTCTCCAATATGAAGAACTCAACTAAGGCTTTCAAAGTCCTTTCTTTTTTTAAAAGTATTTTAATTATTTTTTAAAATTTTATGTGTATGGATGTATTACCTTCTTGTATGTAAGTGTACCCATGTCATGCAATGCTTGTGAAGGTCAGAAGAGAGCATCAGAACCCCTTGAACTGGAGTTATAGATGATTGTTAGCCACCATGCGGGTGCTGGGAATTGAACCCAGGTCCCCTACAAGAGCAGCTCTTCACCATTGAGCCATTTCTCTGGCCCCTAAAAACCTTTTTTTTAAAGACTTATTTTTATTTTATGTGTCTGTGTGAGTACTTGCATGTGTATATGTATACCACTTGTGTGCCTAGTACTCATAGAGGCCAAAAGAGGGTGTCAGCTCCCCAGGAACTAGAGTTACACAAACTGTTGTGAGCTGCCATGTGGGTGATGAGAGCAGAACCTGGGTCCTCTGCATGAGCAGCCAGTGCTCTTAACTGCTGAGCCATCTCTCCAGCCTTGCTAAAACCTTTTGAAAATCCGAATTAACATATATTAACCCTGAAACTTAAGATGGAAGTAAAGAGAAAACTACATATTTTTAGTTGTTAGCCTTAGCCTTTGGCTGCGCTATCCCTCCAGCCCAAAACTATATATTTTTAATTTAACATCTAGACTGGACCAGATAGCACATACCTTTTATCCAGTCTAGCCTGGATTTGTAGCAGTCTTCCTGCGTTAAGCTTCCCAGGTGCTGGGATTATAGATGTAAGCCACCATGCCCAACTCTAAAGCATGCTTTTTAAAAATAAAAATTAGGAGCTGGGCATTTAAAAGTGGCACATCTATAATCCTAGTATTTGAGAGGCTGATTCAGGATTGTGAGTTCCAGGCCAGCCTGGGCTATATAGTGAGATACTGTCTCAAAAATTGAAGAAGGTATGTGAAAATGACTTTATGTAACATGGATATACAATGAATACATACAATAAAAAAACAAAAAATAAAATGGGCTGGAGAGATGACTCAGTGGTTAAGAGCATTGGTTGAGCTGGGTGTGGTGGTGCACGCCTTTAATCCCAGCACTTGGGAGGCAGTGGCAGGTGGATCTCTGTGAGTTCAAGGCTAGCCTGGTCCACAAAGCAAGTTCCAGGCCAGCTGGAGCTACAGATAGACCCTGTCTCAAGAAGACCAAAAAAAAAAAAAAAAAAAGAGCATTGGTTGCTCTCGAAGAGGCCCCAAGTTAGTTACCAGCACCCACATGGCAGTTCACAATCACCCATCAACACTTATTCCAGGGGATCCAGACCCAAGTTAGTTACCAGCACCCACATGGCAGTTCACAATCACCCATCAACACTTATTCCAGGGGATCCAGACCCAAGTTAGTTACCAGCACCCACATGGCAGTTCACAATCACCCATCAACACTTATTCCAGGGGATTCAGCGCCCTTTTCTGGCCTCTATGGGCATTGCACTCATGTGGAACACAAAACACATAAAATAAATAAATTTTAAAAAATTGAAACAAAACATCCATCCCATTTTTAAAAAAGAAAAATAGCTGGGCGTGGTGACGCACACCTTTAATCCCAGCACTTGGGAGGCAGAGGCAGGCGGATCTCTGTGGGTTCAAGGCCAGCCTGGTCTACATAGTGAGTTCCAGGACAGCTGGGGCTACAGGGAGACCCTGTTTCAAAAAGACCAAAATAGAATAAAAAAAAAAAAATAATAATATTCTGAAGAAAGATCCAGTCTTTCTTGCCTCTTAATATTTATATCCTTGAAAACATGAGCATACCATTTCTCATATTTTTCAAAATTATTTATAATTTATATCATGTTTAATATCTTCAATGAAGCCTTTTGATTTTATGATTGACATTTCTTTTCCTTTTTTTTTTTTTTAAGGAAATGAGGTATTTTATCATTGGCACTCTTAAAATATCTTGTTATTTTATGTGTATGAATGTATTGCCTGCATGTATGTAAGTGCACCCTTGTCTGCTCAGCGCCATCTTATTACCGTACCTCCACAAGGCACAGCCTTTGGAGGCCAGAAGAGAGCATCTAATCCCCTGGAATTAGAGTTACAGACAGTTGTTAGCTGCCATGTGGGTGCTGAGAATCAAACCCTGGTCCTCTGTAAGAACCGCAAAAGTTCTTAACTGCTGAGCCATCTCTCCAGCCCCCACACTTTACATTTCTTAAACAGATTTAGGATCCTTAAAAGTAAAAGCATAGGTTATCTACCAAGTAGGACCTTAACAATCACTTAACGTGTTTTATATTCTTAGAGTTTCCATATTTATCTTTTCTATCGTATGGCTCCTTATCTATAACTCAGAATCAAAGTATTCTGGCATTCTTATTTGTATTAATTTACTACCATTATTGTAGATAATATTAAGTACTGATACCATTAAATTAGCAAAGGAGAAAATACTTTGGAATATTTTTAATTATAAATTTACCAAACTAAGCATCTTGGCATTAAATTAACTTGAGAATTATTTTTACTGTTAATTTTTTAGCATTGAAATGTCAACAGATTTTTTTCTCAAATTTGATGTTAATTTTCTTTGCTTCCTATTTTAAGTGAATATGTTTCTCAAATGCTAATTTTAAAAAGTATTTTACTACTTTTATTTTATGCGTATGAGTGTATTGCCTGTGTGTGTGTAAGTGCGCTGGTGTTGTGTACTTCAGAAGAAGGCATTATAGTCCTCTGGAGTTGGAGTTAGGAATGGTTGTTAACTGCCATGTGGGTGCTGGGAACTGAACCTGGGTTCTCTGCAAGAGCAGTACTTTTAACCACTAAGCCATCTCTCTAACCCTATTATTATGATTATGATGATGATGATGATTATTATTATTATTTTTTGTCTTTTTGAAGCAGGGTCTCCCTGTAGCCCCAGCTGTCCTGGAACTCACTATGTAGACCAGGCTGGCCTTGAACTCGCAGAGATCCGCCTGCCTCTGCCTCCCAAGTGCTGGGACTACAGGTATGCGCCACCACACCCAGCCTAACCCTATTATTTTTAACCAATGCTCTCTTATAACTGCCTTCCTATGTTTGTATACTAATTTGTGTTATTTATGGCATTTTTATTTCATTATAACACCAGATATTGTTTTAAAAAAGTGTTTTTGTTTGCAAAACAAGATGTTAGCATCTTAATGTGAGCATTTACATAATTGCTTTGCCATTAAAACTTTTTCATTCCTTCATGTTCATTTACATGACATTGAGTAATCTTGTAAATAAGAAAATGGTACCAAAATGTTGTTATAACAAGAAAACTTTGTTTTAATACTATGTTTCATTTTAGGTTGTAGCCTTAAATTTTGTGTATTTTTTTTCTTTCTTAAAATAGATGATCCATAATTATATGGAACATTTAGAAAGAACAAAACTTCATCAGCTCTCAGGGAGTGATCAGCTGGAGTCTACAGCTCATAGTAGAATTAGGTAAGTTTTGTTACACATTTTGCCTGAGAAAACGAGAAATAAATAATAAGTCTTTTTTTTTGTTTCTGTTTTTCTTTTAATCTGGGAGCAGTAGTTAGGTTGCTTCCAAAAGCTCTCCACTGTGGTTGGAATGCTATGGGAAAGGACAGCATGCAAGAGTAGAATCATTATTAAAAGAAATTATGAGCAGTGTAAATTAAATTATAAGCAGCTTAGGTATTTTGATTTGGTGTTTTTGTTTTTGTTTTGGATACTTGATAGGAAATCACAATAGCTTTGAAATTTTCCAGTTTGTGGGAATGCTGAAAAAATTTTAATTTCTCACATATCATTCATTGGTCCTTTTTGTTACAGAGAGGCATGCTTGAAAGGATTAGCCAGCCATCTGTTTGATGTAGGACTGTGAATAAATTATGTAGATCTCTAGGCTTTGTAACCAATGAGCTAAGCCAAGACTCTTAGTGGAGAGGGAGGTAGTTAATAGGCCGGCCGCCTGTCCCTTTGGTTGCTGCATAAATGCTAGGAGCGGCAGCTCTCTGGTTCTGAGGTGGGGAGAGCGGAATGACGTCATCTCTTTGGAGCCGCTGCAGGATGGAGTGGAAAGCTGCTGCTGATGGCATTGTTTTTGTGGTGTCAGCTGAATGACAGATCCTCACTACAAAGATACCCTTTTGGCCCCCGTGTAGGCCTCCTGGTTCGGACTTTTCACCATGCCAGCACAGCGCCATGAGTCCTGGATGCATGCTGCTGTTTGTGTTTGGCTTTGTTGGCGGGGCGGTGGTCATTAATTCTGCAATCTTAGTGTCTCTCTCTGTTTTGCTGCTTGTGCACTTTTCTATTTCTACCGGTGTGCCAGCGCTGACGCAGAACCTACCAAGGATACTCAGGTACTCTAGTCTCTCCGAAGCTCCTGCGTAGCTGGTTTTTCTTAAAGGTTCTTAGCATCAAGTCTCTCCTTTGTAACCGTTTCTGTTACAGATTCAAACAATGGAAAACGGCCTGAAGCTAGAATGTCCGTTCTTATTTATAGTAATTTATAGGCCATCATTTTAGGAACATTGCTTTATGTTTGGAAATTACAGATCAAAGAAAGGGATTTCTGTGGTGTAGTTATACACAAATACAAGGTCGGTGTGGTTTTGTCTTAAGCAGAGTGTTAAAGACTAAAAGGAAAGCAAGAACAGAGAATCAGGTCCAAGTTCATATATCTCCGAATTTAGCTTCTGAGCATAAGCTTTTATGCTGGGTCTTGCAGATGATTAGCCACAAAGCATAGGCTTATTTTGTTTGAGTTCTCCTTTGCCTGATGAAAGGTTTAGTATTAATTTTACAATTTTTAATAATAGCTCATGGGAATTGGCAATCTAAATATTGACTTCTAAAACAAAATATTTTTTAAAATAAAAAGATTTAAGTTTTTAGGACAAGAATGTGTTTCCCCAGTTTGCACATCAAAGTTGTGAGAGCTTCACAAAGCCTATTCACTGTTGTTTGGTCAGATGTTGCCCTTTCTTTTCTTTGTAGCTCTGGGTGACAAATATCCATGGCTGCTGTGGGGGCAGCCGTTAGTCCTGTAGCTTTCCTGTTGCTCACTGTGCTTGCAGCCTCTGAAAACATCCACATGTTAGATGGTTAAGGTTTGGGATTCTTCTGTTTTCTAACTCACAAACTCAAAATATCTGATTTGTTCAGATTTCAGTTTTGTAAGTGATTTTTAACTGAAGTTTCATAGTATATGTAGTTTTAGTATTTGAATGGTTACAAAAATATTTAAATCCTAATTATAGATTTAGATGAGAATAGAAGTAGTTTCTTCAGTGTGATTCTTTTTATTCACAGGCCAGCTCATGTTCAGTTTTAGTTTTAAGACCGAGATTTCATGTATGGTCTAAAATTAGGTGCTCGATCATTTATTTTCTTTCCTTATTTGTTTTGAGACAGGTCTTTGTAGTCTAGGTTGGCCTTGAATTCTATAGAAACTGTCTCCCACTTACGTGCTGGGATTACAGCACCCTTCCAGGCTCTTTCCTGATTTATAAAAATTTGTATATAAGTCTGTGTATACTTAAGTTTTGAGGAAATTAGAAACCACAAGAATGTATAATATTAAGACTAGTGTTAAGGGGCTATGTTAAGTTAGGCTCTGTTTGAGAAAGAAGTTACTGCCATATGGTAGATAAGAGAGACTTTGGAGTTGCACTGTCCCATAAGTGAAGCCCTTGGATCTTTGGCAATTTATTTCATCTCTTAGTTTCTTCCTATGAAGGTGTTTACTTCATTGACTAATTTTTAAAATCAAATGAGTTGTTATTTTGTACTTAATTACAGTTGCAAAATGTATGGTAAATTATATAAGTGAATTTCATAACCATTTATGTATATCCCGTTTTTTGTTGAATTAGCTTTTAATACCAGCTCTGCCAGTTACTATGACTTAAAGCCTTTGAACATCATTTTTCCTACTCTGAAAACTGAGAAAGCAGTACCTATTTCTGATAGGTTAAATGAGATAGTGTAAATAAATCATCTGGCTTAGTACCTGCCACATTATGAAATTGTTCCACCAGTGTGACTTTATTTTTATTTTTTTTGAGATAGGGTCTCACTATGTAGTCCTGGCTGGCTTGGAACTTGCTGTGTAGGCTACGCTGGCCTCCAACTCAGAGATCTGTTTGTCTCTGCCTCCTGAGTACCAGGATTAAAAGTGTGCTCTACCATGCCTGACAAGTGTAATCTTTTTTATAACCTTGTAAGGTATATTTTACTAATCAGTTGTTTTAAATGTGAACACAGCCAAAAGACTATTTCAAATACACATTTTCAAAATCAGTTATACACATAAGCTAATAATTAAATAAGCAACTAAAAACTGGATCTATGGAACTGAAGCCACTAGCCCAAGGATACAAGAAAGATTCTGATAACTTGATAGCTTTGCTTCTGTTAGGGAGTAAAATTACTAGGCACTGATAGCAGATGTTTCTGTCTAGGGGTTTAAATCTTCCACTTGGTATTTTTCTTTTAAAATAAATTTATTTATTTTTGTTCTTTTTGAGGGTTTTTTTTCTGTAGCCCCAGCTGGCCTGGAATTCACTATGTAAACCAGTTTGGACTTGATCTCAAAGAGATCAGCCTGCCTCTGCCTCCCCAGTGCTGGGATGAAAGGCATATGCCATCATTCTTCTTCTTCTTCTTGAGCTGGAACAGAGTAACCCATGGCATCATGACCAATTTGACAGGTGAATCTAGAGATCAATTTCTTTGAATAACTAATAAAGGCAAAATTAAGAATTGGGAATTTTTCTTGTGTTTTGAATTATGGAATAAGTAGGAAAGTAAAATGTGGATTCAAAGAAGACTTTGGTTCAACAGTTAAAAAGTTTTTAGTATTTGATATGTGTGAAAATGAGTTCAATATAAGGAAGATAATTCTAATGACTGGCTTGTATTTTGATTTTTGTTAGCAATATGATAATTCTCATGAGCTCTGCATTATCCTTCTCTCTTTCCATTAGACACAGTCCAATTAAATTCCCAGTCACCTTTTACTTAAGGCATGAAGGTATGTTAGAAAATAAATAGATGTCAAATAGTAGTCCTTGGGCCATTGGATTTCCGTTCTCAAAATATGTTTCCCAAAATTGGGAATAGACATCAGGTTGGCAGTTTTTCGTTTTGTCAAGTTAAAAACAACAAAAAATTTCTATCCTTTAATGAGAAAAGAAAGTTGAGATTTAAGGGCAAAGAAGCAGAAAAGATGTAGTTTAAAATAAGAGCCAGTAATTCTCAAGGAAGGGTAAGTTCTGTTACATGGAAATACATACATGTAATATGTACTATATTAATTACTAGGGAAAAAAATCTTGCTGTCATTGACTTATGAGTAGCTAAATAATTACTTAGTATTAGCCTTAGTTTTTTTAGACAGGGTCTCATGTAGCATAGGCTAGCTACTAAAATACTTTGTAGCCAGAAAAGACCTTGAACTCCTGATCCTCCTGCCTTCATCCCCTAAGTGCTGGGACTATAGGCATTTGCCACCAAGCCCAGTAAAGAAAGACATTTTTTGTGTGTGTGTGTGTGGGGGGGGGCAGGCGCTCACATATGCTCTATTACTGAGTTCTGTCCCTAGCTCACTAATAATTTTTATCATTTACTTGTTCTGGAAGCTTTTAGTCACACATTTAGATGTGATATTAAAACTTAGTTTCTTACTGTGCTGCCTAATGAGTCTGATGTTTTCAATAATCTTTTCTTGGTAAATATGAAAGAATACATCCTTTGTGTTAGGTAAGGGCAGATTTTCAAGTGTAACTTAAGTCTCTTGGTATAAAACTGAGTTTACAAGGTTGGAAACTTAAGTGGTGAAGTGCTTGCCTAGCATGTATGATATGATATCTTAAGTTCGGTCCCCAGTACCACAAAACAATAATTTAAGCAGTGCAAAAATAAAAACAGATGAAACAAGAACAAAAGGAACAAAACTCCACTGTAATAAAGGAGAGAGAATACTTTTAAAAAATTAAAAACTTATCAAATAAGTTAGCTCATTAGATTTTTTTTTCTTTCTTGCTTTTATTTAGAACCTGTTTGTTTCTGTTCTCACAATTTTACCAGTAGAGGTCAAAATTCTGTTTAGCAACCAATATT